TATCTGTCTGTAGTTTTCCACATATAGTAATATTCTATTATGCTTGTTAAGGACTTCCAGGGGAGCTAGGGACATAAAGGAAAAACAGCAGTCATTGCAGGGAGCTGGCACACAGCCTCACTGACATGCCCTGGACTCCTCTGACAGACAGTTTATAGCAGAGTCTTGCAACTATTAACCCTCCTAACAAAAAAAGACAGTCAATGTCTGAATCTCCTAAGGGCATTAGATGCACATGGGACCCATGTTAAATTAAATGCCCTTTCAAAAAATAGTGCTTTCAGTGTAGAAGTAGAGCAGGTTACAGGTAAATCTTCATGCCGCATTGGCTCCACAGCAAAGCATTCAAGAGAAGCACAATGTGGAAGGGAGCCCACTGGCTCAGACTCACTCTGCTACAACAGCAAAGACTCGAGGAAGAGCCACAACTACAGTATCACAGTTCTGATTTGCTTGGCTTCTATGGAGCTGCTCATTTGAATAAATAAATAAATAAATAAATAAATAAATAGTAACTACTAACAGAATTGTGCCATGCCAGCTCTGCTCCCTGCCCAAGAAGCACGAGGATTTTTTTTTGAGTCTTGTGCTGCTTCCAAGTCCCTCTGTCTAAAAGATCAGAGCACGAGACAAGCTACACTGAAACTACTTGTTTTATTCCAGAGGACTCGAACAGCGATACAGTGAAACTTGGCTCTCTTTACAGTGCTCCATTCAATCTGCAGGCTGAGCACCTAGGGTGGAGCTTTAGCCAAACTACAGGACACTTCCCTTGGATGCCCAGGATTCCTTTTTAAAACTTTCAAAGGGTCCTTTCTGAAATAGCAATATAAAAGTGACTAAATTTTCATGTTTCAGAAGGCCCAGTACTTATTCTCCTTCAAACACAAATTAATCTACAGTAGCTAGGTTGTCACAACACTTTCCTAAATCCTCTCTCAGCTGTAGTGGAGCAGATGATTTTAAATTAACGTCACTAAAAGAAAAGCAATCATCTGTGAAAATTTGAAATTCTGCCTGTACAGCAGGCTGTCATCAACATGAGGTCTGCCTTTTCCCAATTTACAGCAAGACACATGCTCCAGTTCAAAGCCCTCCTCTTCAACACGAAGAAAAACAACACAGTTTAGACAAGTTGTAAACCAGTTCCGTCACCAATCAGAACTGGTCACCGTGTGGGTCTCCATTTTAGATACTTACAAAATCTTGCTGAATGTCAGTGAAATCTTTTCCATATTTTTCTAGTGCTTCCTCAAAGAGGTTTGCCTCTGAAGCAGACCACTCCTCCATCTCATCTCTGCACAGGACAGGCCCACCTTGTGGCACAAGCGCAGAGATTGCCTTGGAAATGTCATAGACATTTTTGTGCAAAGTGTCCATAGCATGGAACTACATGGTTGTAAAGGAGAAAGATAAATGTAAGGATAAGCACCTAGGGGGAAAAATGCTTAAAGTGAAACAGCAATAACATATTCTGCACCATGATTTAAAGGTGTAGTATTCTGTATTAAACACAGACAGTAAAAACTTGTTCCAACTTCAGACTCGCTGTAATTGTCAGCGTGCAAGTCTAACATTCACTAACAACAGCAGGGTTTTTGGAACATGAGCCCTTGCATATCAATAATTCCTACTTTATCTACTCACCAGCACTGTAGCACAACTGTTATGAAAGTACACAGGATAGAGCCCCACACTGAGCAGCCCTGTCAGGCACCATCCACAGATGGGGCATGAAGATAGAGGCCCAAAGGCGTATTTTCTAATAAACTTAGCCATGCACTTTCTTTGTCAAATAATCCACAAAAATTGCATAAGAAAAATATTTAAGAGCAGCAACACACACATACACTTCACCTCCAAAGGCCACAAATCCCAAAGAAGATTCAAGTCAAGTCACATATGATAGCTGAGTAGGAAAAAAGAATTACTTCTAGGAGCAATTACTCCTCAGAAAGCTGAGCTACGACTGTCTGCAACTTGTGATTTACAAGGGCTGAGAACACATTGTGAGGGAGGAATTGGTATTAGTAAATGAAAGCTTGGCTTTGTTTCCTGGTTTCTGTAGTTTTAATCAGAATGTTTTTTCCCTTTCAACATACCAGTTTTGTGCATGTGCATAATTAATCTACAGTGTTTGATCCCAGAATTTATTGTATATATGGTTTCTCTCTATTCCAGTTATGAGTTGAGGCTTTGATAACAGCTCTCTGGAGACTTCATAAATTTTATTCAAATTTTCATTAAACTTTCTCTAGCATAGAAGTTCAAGTTTTCCCTTTCCTCTATCTACTCAAAATCATTTATGATTATAAAATATTAACAATGTCACCACTCCTCAGGTACTCTAAAACAAAGATAATTGCAGAAAAGAACTGGAACATCTGAAATTTCTTATCTGACCACAAGCTTTTCCCCCAGACAACCTTGCCCAAGTATGCCAGTGACAGTCTGGTGTTGGGGGAGTGATGAGGAGTGGCATTCTGGCATTAAAACACTGCAGACAGGCAGATAATCATTTACATTCTTTTCAAGACAGCTACTAAGCCCCTGCAAGAGATGGGTTGTGAAGCATGTCATCAAAACATTTTAATAAAACAAAACAAAAAATTATCTCATAGAATTATCCATGATGGATCATAGAAGGCACAAGGCCAGAAAAAGTTACTTCATATGTAAATAAAGGGTTCCTTTACAAAGACAGGATCTGCTTCACAGCAGGCCACAATTACAACCCATCTGCCCCTCTCTCTTTGCCAACTGTTATTGCTGAGGTGAATATTTTGCATCTCAAAAATGTAAGGCCCTCTTAAAAATCTTACCAGTGTGATGTCCCTAGAGGCTGCTGCAGCACTCATGTGCAAACTTGGCTGTCTGACAGAACTACTGCAATCTAGTGCTCGGGCAAACGTACCAACAGACCTGAAAGAAATTAAACAGAGCATTAACTTTGCATGCAAAACAAGCATGAATATAAACACCAACGAACACTTTTTGAGATCAGCAGACTCCATTTCTCAGGAACAAGATTACATGTTTTGGCGCTAGTTCTGAGACAGAGACCGTTCTCTTCAGATGTGGTTTGTTATTATGAATGCTTTATTCTACTTAGTTCATATGACCAAAGAGGCTTAAGCGTAGGAGGGGTAAGACTCAAGGATTACAAACAGGGAGTTTTGAACTCCTCTTATCCCCTATCTCTCAACAGAATTAAGCTTTAACAGAAACTGAGCACAAGTGAGTTTTATGAATGGCAAAAATCTCTTCCACAACAGCAAGAGCAGCACTGCATTTTCCAAAGGTACAGAGACAGATGACAAGACCAGACAGAAAAGAAATGCAGTAATGCAAGCATTTTTTCTAAAAGATTCATTAAAATTAACATAATATAGTATAACACATATATATATAAAATACAGCCCATGTAAGAATAAAGCAATTCTTGAATACTTCCCAAAATCAGCTATGCCAGCTTGCGAGACCACAATCACCATGCTCCTCATTTTATCCCTGAAGAAATTAGTCAGAGAAACCTTTAAACAGGAACATGGGTTCTAGTTATTCCTACTCTCTTTGCTGCTTGCTATACCACGTGGGTGAAATGCTTGTGCTCCTGCACAGTAAGCTGAACTCCTCTGAGTAACTACAACAGCAACAACAACAACAAAAAAAAAGGTGTAGGTTCTTTTCCTCCATTCAGATCACTTCCTCAAACTAGTTGAGTGCACAGAGGAACAAACTCTGGTGTCAAGCAGGGCTGGTGTAGAAAAAGTAAATGCTTAAGCAGGAGTTGCCATCAAATATCAAATTTTGGCTAAAATCCAAAGCAGTCTCCCCCACCCGAGTTTCTGTGGCGATTTACACTTTGTCCTCTCCCCAGCCTCTCAGTCACTATCCCCATCCCTGCTTCACGACTCCCCCGTCCCCAGCTCTAGCAGAACTGATACTTTTGGGGGTGTGTGTGTGTGTAGCATCTAATTATAAACTGGATCACTTTGCTGACTCCAGACAGAAGCAATTTTTATACTGATTTTTTCAGTGATTCTTGTTACAACACACACCTTTAAGTGCCTGTATCAGCAAACCCAGTGGGCTGCAGCGAACAGCCGGGAAGGGTTTTTAGCATTACTAAAACCAGCTTTGCCACCAAAAACCTACACAAGGTGGAAGCCCCTATCACAAAGCAGCTCTACAGCCACTCTAAACCAACCCACTTCCTGCTGGGTCTTCCTCACACGAACACTAGACACTAGAGCACTGTGTAGTCAAGTGGTAATTTGAATCAATCCTGCTTTTTCTGAAAATTAACCCAGAAAATAAAGTTCTTAGCTTTCTGGTGGTGTCCTGTACTTCACTTGATGAGAAGCAACTGTGAAACCAGAGCCTTGTCAAGAATGGTCCCATAGGAAGCAGGACTAGCCTTTGCTGGAGGCATCCCAGCTCTCCCCATCACTCCTCCATCTGTTCCACATCACCAGTGGAGACTATCCTCTCCTCACTTTCATCCATTTCCCTGTGTCCATCTGATCAATCAGAATTAATCTTTTGCACATAAATTCACTGTGTAAGCAGCCCAGTGAAACTTCCAAGAGCCTAAATTTTATGGCGATCCTTTAGTGTAGCCAGAACACTATGAATTTTATGAACTTTTAAAGTCTATACAACAAAAAGCACCTGTTTAACCAAAGGCAAAAAACGCATTCATGGATTCTGAACTGTAAGATTTTCTTCAGTCTGGACTGCAGTTAACATTTTTAATCTTACCAAACGTAGTTTCACTCTTGGCTCCCTGTTACTGGACTTGAACACAAGGCCCAAGCAGCCATGCAAAGGTTTTTAACTGCTGCAATTCACACTAGCTATTTTTTTTTTAAATTTAGCCAAAGTTGGTAATAATGGTAAGTTTTATCTTCAAAGTACACAGAAAAATCGATTTGGGTGTGTATTTCTGAGTATATACACTTCCCATCCTGAGTACGGAAAACACTGCATTTCATCATCTTCCTCATTTACCTAAATTCTATTTTTTTCCCCCAGTATTTCCCTGAGCTTGTATCATTCAGCACGTTGAACACATTTACTGCTGTTTGATAAAAATGTACCTTTGTAGCATCATTCGGCAGCTTCAATCATAACTGAAGGGCCCTTTCCAGGCAGATTCTGAGTATCTGAAATACAGGCTTAACTATTTTTTCAGGGCCAAAGCCCTGTGAGGCAGGGTCCATGTCTATCAGATACTATGGCAAATGAGCAGAACTCTCAAGACTAGTCAAACCAGACACTGCTAGCAGTAGTGTAATTTCACACACCCCTTTCCTAACCATATCCAATGATAATTTGCTATTTTGACTAAAAATATTAAAAGGTCCAACTATCCATTTATTCAGACCATTTTCCCTCTCACACAGTCCCACAAACTTACCTAAAACACAAAGAATTTGGAGAGTGTTATCTTTTTTCTTTTTTTATTTCCCCCAAATTATTCAATCACCAGTTGCTATGAGAGCCTAAAATTTAGTATAAGCATCTGTTCATATAAATGCATACCAATAAAAAAGTTCAAGAACATTTTAAAAAGGAAAGTTTGATCAACAAACACTGCTTTGGGCTTAAATAAAAGCACACATTTCACCATCTGTACAGATTTGCAGTGTTTTACTTTATTGTGCCTACCTATTGGAATCTAGGCATTAGAAAGCATCCCTGCTCCATCAAAAACACTTTACCAGACTTCTTAGCAAACTATTAATGGATGTTAAAATGTCACTGGATTTGAAAAAGGGAGAAAACTGACAGAGTAATGAACTGTCAAGAATCTAGTTCACTAAGCCTTCTGCATGCTGGTCAAAGTATTTGAAAAACCTCACCAATTACCAGACAGTTTTTCCATGCCATTTGCTTTTCTTTTATGAAAGTGATTAACTAAGTTGTAAATCTGAGTAGCTGTTCCTAAAGTCATGCAGTTCCCTGGAAGGCATGTAAAATGTCTGTCACTTCAAAATTGAGCAAGTGAATCGACCAACCAAAACCAGTATTCATACCAGTAAAAGCAAAAAGAACATTAAATGTGTTTGGAACCAGAATTACAAACTTTTACTTACTCAAAGGAGAGGTAAAATGCTCTTACCGTGCTACCACCAGGAACTGGTCTATCTGCTTGTCTACTAATGGGTTAAAAGCTTCCCAAACTTTTGTTTCAAGTTTTGACTGATCTCTTCCATCATCCTCACCTGGTTGAAAAACAAATTAGAAATGCTTGGTATGGCTTTTTTAAAATAAAAGTACATTCTAGATTATTTTATCTCACAATAATTTGACTGCTAACCCATCTCTTTTAACAGGCCACTGTGAAAACTTCATTCACCCATTCATCTGTGACAATTTCAGTTTGCCAGACACACCAACTCAGCTTGTTTGAATTGGGCAATCAGATTCTGAAGAACTGGTTTTAAAGGACACATGTAATGAGATACAGAGTACATCCTTCTCTCAACTAGGCAGTCTCTCTGCATCCCCTCCCTCCAGTTTCTTTCTCCTTTATCTTGCAGCAGCTCCAGGAAAACAGGCACACTCCCAGCTGCTCTGGGCAGGCAATAGCTGGTTCACCTTGTGTCAGCTGCTTTCGAAGGGGGAAATCACAGCATCAGTCTCTCTTGCTTCCATTTTCCTGACTACACACAAACCAAAACACCTTGGGAAAATACAGGAGCTACCAAGACTTTTTAAATTTTTCTTTTTTTTTTTCTTTCTTCTGCTCCCTTTAAAACATCTGGAGATTGTCCTTCTCTGAAGCCCTGTGTTGGCCTGCTGAGGTAAGAGAATGCCTCTCAAATTAGTTCATCCTCACTTAGGAGGCTTGCCCAGCTGCTGAATAAATACCAGTTTCATAGACAAATTAAACAAGAGTCCCAATCAATTTGTTTGTTCTAACATGAGGCTAACAGTATCAGCAAAGACAGAAGCACATTGTTGCTTTCACATCTCTGCCCATACAGTTTGGAGAAGGTCCTTCCAACATGGGTCACAACCCCTGCTCTCTTAGGAGGAGCATACCAACAGATCTTTCCTTGTGTATTACATGGGGCTCAGAAAGGAGCAAATAGATGCCAATATTCCCATCCCTCTCAGTTTTCCACCCACTTTTGGATCTGTAGGGTAGTGCAAAGGCAAATCTAAAGTTAGTCACTATTTGGTAACTAGTAACAGCTCCTGCTACTACTCCATTTCCTAGGACCAGCGTCCTTGAGGTCGGTCCTACCGCTCCATGACATAATAGGAGCAGGCTGAAGTCTCACAAGTTCAGGCCAACAAATTCTTCCTCTTTCCTGTTCTGCAGGTGAGAAATCTAGGCTGGCAGCCAACACTGTAGATGGGGAGAGGGCTCCAAGGAAAAGGCACCCAGCAATAATGGGTGAATTGATGAGGGCAGACATTTAATTGGCACTAACTTGGGAAGGGCTCTTATAGGGAAGTGAGGCTTGATTGAAAACACAAAAGGCTTTACAGACACGATGAAGTTTGTGTTTCCCATGGAAATTCTGAAATCTCTAAATAAAAAGAGTGCAAGCTCTGAGAGAGCCAATTAATTCAATTTGTTTTAACAACTTTTATGATTTGGACAAATGCCCACTTAAAGACTGGTTTGAGACATAACTAATTGAGTTCAGAAGGCAACAGCTTCAGTCACCAACAAACCAAGCCATCGTTGGAGGCATGACCTGGCAGTGGAAACCTCCATCTCCCACATCTATGTAGGCCATGCACATAGCAGTGGCCACATTCAATACGGCCTCTTGACAATTTAAATAAATTATGGAAATTACCCTCTTTTAGTAGGTCTGTTATATCTGCCTGATATCTGTTTCCAACTCGAATCTCTCCTTTATCAGCGAGTAGGGTCTTTTGTTGAGGATCATATACTAGTGAATAAAAGAAGAAATCCTAAAAATAAAACAAAAGAAAAAAATTAAACAGCGTTATTAGCTTTTACTTTCAGATTTGCATGCACACTAACAACCTTTTACATTTAAAGTTTGGTTTTACTACCTATATATAGATTTTAAAGCTGGGTGAATAAACAAGAAATAAACGACCAATTTTAAAACCCTACGTTAAATGCTGCCACTTTCTTCCATCAGTCCAACAGCTCTCCTCAAAAGCAGCCACTCCTATAATATACAGTCTTTGAAGTTGAAGTGAACAATGCTCCTCTTGCACAAACAGGGCTCAGGAGGTCCAGGAGATACTTTTTAGTAGTATCATCTGCTTCAGAACATAAAATTGCACTTTCCCATATACCAAAATAGCCATAACTAGATGCTAGTGACTTATCCACACAGAAATATTGGTACAAACTGAAGCATGACTTCAGAGTGTTACAGCTCTAACAGAGACATGAAGCCCCACAGACAACCACTGTGGCCTCTACTGGACTTGCTCCAGTATGTCAATGTCTGTTCTCATAGTGGGAGCCTCAAAGTTGGACACAGCACTCCAGAAGTGGTTTTGCAAGTGATGAACAGAGGGGAAGAATCCCTTCCTTCCACCTGCTCGCTACACTCTTGCTAATATACACCAGGATGTGCTTCACTTTCCTTGTCATGGGGATGCACTGCTGATGACCTTCTTGTCCACCACCATCTAAGCTTAAATCACCATGTTTCCTTCAGCTTGTCATTGGGAGAGGGTAGCAGATCTGGCAGCAGCAGTAAGCAGCTGCAGGTAGTAAGACATTAATTTGTTGCTTTAGTTCAAGTAGATGAGAAAAAGGCTAAAAATGCTACTTGGCTTCTGTTACCTGGGTGTGTAAAATTAAAACAAGAAGTCATACAAGAATGAGAATGTCCTGCCAGGGTGGAGGAAGAAAACAGACAAAATTTTAACTACTTAAAACTACACAGTGTAAGTAATTAAACTTTTCTGCATGGATAAGTACTTAGCTATAGCTATTGGGTGACACAATGGAGGCCAGGTACACTCTATCAAAGTATAGTGTGGGATATGGGGCAGGAGGAGAGCTCTGGTAGGACATGAAAGAACAGACCTTTTAGAACCTCCATCCACAGCAACACTGTCACCAGGAAAGAGAAGTGTTTCTGAACAGAAAGACAGGATGTGCCATTTTCACATCTCAGGTTTCTGGCTCATTTTCCCTTTCCTCGTATTTCTGTGTCAATAGCAGTCATCCTGTTTAAATAAATCTAATTTCATGCTCATCTCATTTTCCTTTTCCCTATATTTGTATGTGTCAACAGCATGCAACAAAAATCAGGACAAAACCAGCATCAGTTTCAAGCCCTGTTCATCTTCATGAAGAGGTGGCAAGGGAAGAGAGTCCCCCAATCTGTCATGCAAAGCTCAAAAAAGGAAGAATCACTTTGAGTTTCTCCAGTAATACAGCAAAAATTCTGTGGGTTACAGCTTCAAAGGTACATACTAGTGCTGTTCCCTGGCCCTGTGCATTACACACGTTATTTGGAGACTGATGCTACAGAGGTAAAGTCTCCTGCATTTTCTTTACACATATACTGCATCCAGCATCCAATTGCAGGATTTAAGAGTGTTAAATATGGTAACTCTATTTTCTGCTTTGATTTTAATAAAAATAGGCATTTTTCCAGGAAGAGAACATCTATGGAAGGGAGGAAGAGAGCGAAGCAAGCCAGCCAAACCTGCTTTGCTACCCAAGAAGGCTACTGCACAAAAAGGTATCACCTACACAGCACAGCACAAGAGGCAAGACAGGAATTCACGCTGATCTCCAGCAGAAAACATGACATTTCCCAAGCATGAACTCCAAGGGCAAGAACAATCTCATGCTATGTCATGATAACAGGATAAAAGTCATAGCAAACACTTGGCAAAATGCTGTTCCAACACCCGGCCAAGTCAATCGGAAGGGTCGTCTGTGGTTGGGTTTGGGGTGAGGGGATTCGGTTGCATCCTAAAGTAACTACATTTTTGATAGAATTGATTCCTACTCCCACAGGCACCAGGGCTAAATCACATCAACCTACTGAGAGAAGGGAGCTTCAGAGTATATAAAATTCATTTATATCATGGCTGTGTAAAGCAATCTGGGTCTCTTGCTCCCTGACATACACAAAGTTCAAGATATTACAATATTTGGATAATGTATTGTTGCATAAATAAACACAGCAAAAGCTTTTGTCTTGCAAGCTTCTATGTTATAAATATAGTAAGTGTTTTACTTGTTCCAGCTCTAAAATACCTAACTGTAGGACAAAGTATACGCAGTGCAACATCAATGCTTTTCAGGCACATTGCCCAGCAAACATGCAAACCAAACACCGCAGTATAACAAGACGGTGGGCCCCAAGGAAGGTCAGATCTACAGGCAATTTCTGAACACAATCTTTCTCAGCCAGGGAAAGTCATTCATTGTGGGTTTTCTTTCATGGTATTTCATTGTTAGATGCCCTCTTACTTCTCTTTTACAGATTATTGCTATGATTTTTCTCTACAAAAGAAAATCCATCCTTCTCTACCAGTCTCAGGCCATCTTTTTATATCTTGTCAGTTCTGTCTTGGATCAAGCAGGCCCAACAGAAGAATTAAAAGCTTCTGGTCTCTTCTCCCCAACCAGAGCCTCCTTGACAGAGAAATGATGGAAGTTTAAGGGCTCAAGTGGGAATACAAAACAGACTGCAATCCCCAGAGTGCACTACCATCTTTGTCCACAGACGCATGAAATTCAGTCCATGCAAAATGAGTGAGATTTCTGAAAACATTAATAAATGTCACACAGTAGATCCTTGATACTCCAAAGTGCACATGAACTCTTGATGGCCACTACGTGATGAGAACAATTTTTCAGAATGGTTTCACAAGAGCAATATTCACAGCAAACTAACATGGCTCTTCAAAATCCTCCATGCCCATTTTATGTCAAAGCTATGGATGTTGAGTTTGCAGCAGAGGAGAAAAAGAAGGGTTTACTCTTTTAATTTCAGATCCCAGAAAACACTCAACATGTTGGGGGAAATCACAATGATTTGGCACGAGTTAAAATTAAACCATCACTTTCTTCTTCTCCAAAGTGTTACACAGACACAAACGCTCAGAGCTTCCCTACCCAAGTCCCTAAGCTATCCACAGCTACGGGCAAGAACCAAAGCTGCTCACAAACTGCAGAAGAACTGGAAAAAGAAAACAGGCTCAAAGTGAAAGTAAAGTACAGAAATAACAGTTAGTTCATTACAGCTTGCAAACTCACTTTCATGAAGTCAGTCTGGGCGAAGGGGATGGAATAATGTGCTTTAACTATATAGCATGTTATTTTTAGTGGGGTAGTAAAGGGTACCAAAATACCAGACATCTGCCCAGCAGGCAAAATTCACACAAGCCTCTGGATATATCCTAGCAGAGCAGTAAAATAGAGGGTGTATATATATATATATATATATAATAGTTTCCAGCAGAACAGGGAAATCTAATGCTTTTGCCCTAACTGGCTATGCTCTTCTCTTGATCTCACTGGAAATTCAGTATGTACAGGAAATTCTGTTTTTCCAGATGCCTTTTTTCTTTTTCCTCCTATTCCCCTCTCCTGCTACAGACCCAATTTTGCCAGGCACAGTAAAAAAAGTCAACACTTGTCCCCCCTCAGCCTGCTCTCTGAATGTAACGGAGCAATCTTCCTGAGGAAGATGACAGAAAGAAAATGGAAGGAGGAAAACAGAGATAACAGAAATGTAATTTTGCTATGCTTACTATCTCTCTAAAAAATTCTGTCTGCATGTTTAACCTCCTTTTGAGGCAGACAGCCTTGGACTGAAAACCTACTTTTAGTGGTCATAACATACAAGAAATCAAATGACAGATTCCCCTAGAACTGCTTAGGCTTCATTGACAGAAGTCACATTAAAAAAACCCAACAATGAACTAAGTATTTTGAAAGCAAAGAATGGATTAAGAACAGGGGGACGGGAAAAAATAAAAAAAGAAGAAATGGTTCAAAACAACACCATCCAGTGCTATGAATTCACCAGGCAACAAATATCTCCTTTTTCTTAATCTCTTTACCCTCCACCCAAGCACATTTGTGTTCCTGAGCTTTTAATTTCTTTACCATCTGTCCAAGTTAGTTTGCACCACAGTGAAATACTGTGCTAAGTGACAGGACACATTCAAGGAACTCTCTCATTCTGTGAAATCGCTAAGTGCCTGCGCAGTTTTAAAAATAACCCTCGTCACTCATCCTGCATTCTGAGAGTTCAAAAGGATGAAAAATAAATCTCTTTCTATTCCTAAATCTGCAACTGAGCTGTTGCATGATTAGAGAAAGCCAGTTCCCTTTTCTGACCCAATGTACCCACTTGTAACATCAGCGATAATAAATCTGTGTTCGGAGCAATTGAAAACAAATACTACTTAAAAGTTGGGTACTAGTAAATCTAAATTAATTTAAGTTTGATTAACTTTTGCTTTCAAATTGGCATATTCTAGGTCGCTAGCTGGTAACAAGCATCCTGAATACAATGGCCCCTGTTTGATGCTCTGCCATTTGGCAGCCCTGAGCAGACTCGACATGTTTTTGGTTTCACATTCCAAAGAGAAACCCAACTATTAAATCCCTGTGCTTTGTTTAAAATTCTCTTAAACTAGAGTATCAGATTAAAATTAAACTCATGCTTAAATAAATACTAAAGAAAGCTAAAAAAGCATTTAAAAAAGAAAGCCCAACTATGAGACAGACTACAGTATGCTCCTTGTAAAAAAAATAACCTGTTTTCTCCTTGTTTCTTAAAGGCCAGTAATGACCATTATTCTACTGCTTTTAATTACAAGATTTCCTTCCTTGTCTAACATTTTAATGTTTTCAAATGCAAATATAATGCTTGTAGATGTATTCAAATAACAATATGCTGAAAGTGTTTGCTAATCTCCTGAAGTAAGGCTCCCAGATTGTCAAATTCTAAGACTGTCTAACCCAGCCGGGAGCCAGAGGTCTAGCCACAATTAAAGGCATAGAAATATATTTAAAAATTACAATTGGCATTTTTAAATTCCCCAAATACCTGAAAAAGTAAACACCAAGATTTATATTCTGAATAGTGATTAACAGTGCAAGACAATTCAGTTTCAAGTGTTTGGTTGGAGTCATCTTTAAACAGTCGGATTGGGTAAATTCCTGCAGGACTTGGAAGTTAACTGACAAGTAGTTTTTCAGGGATCTAAGTGTCTGTGGTGGCACAGGACGACTACAGGTAAATATTTAGAACAGTGAACTCAAAACCAGGGAACCAAGCTTCTCAGAAATCAGAGGTGAAATCAAGCTTAAACCATATTAACAGAAATCAGTAAGATTTCAGGGTAAAGCAAATATATAGAACTACAGCTTGCTGGTTTGCTCCCTCTTCATGTTCACTTCCATCTCCCACTCTGTCTTGTTTGAGGTGTGAGCCCCAGGTTTGAACTTTCACACTGCCAGGCTGATGAGCAAGTAGGGCTCTGTTTACAGGAGAGGCAGCTTGCTGTCACAAGGATGTGAACAGAAGCTCTGGCCTCTAGATTCATGAAGTTTTATATTAGAATAAAAACTGTAAGGAGCCTAAAGCTTCCCACTGTCAATGGCCGTACAGTAAATGTAGAAATAAAGAAGCAACTTCTTTTTAGAAAACTTGTGAAAAGCCACCAATCCTAAATTGTGTCAGAATAAACCGTTCAAGCTTGACAATTCAAAAAATGGGTTCATACCTCCCGTTCCAGATATGATTTAAGGGATTCTGTCTCATTTAACAGAGTAACGCTGCATTTGCCTCTAAAAAAAGAGAAACACATTTTATGAAAAAACATCTTAAATGCTCATGTGATTCACAAGATGGTATTACCGGAGTTGTACACAGAGTTTAACCTTACACTGAAGAGTACTTGAATGGTAATAATGCCATTTGTTTTTTGAATAAAAAGCACTGGAAGAAAACAGTCATTACCTAATGTGTGTGGCTGGCAGAGATTCCAGCTGTCGTGAGAGAAACAACTCACGATGTCGTAGCTGATGCTTCTGTTTCTCTGGTAAATCAACCATTTCTGGATTTTCCATCTCTTCTTCCATCTCTCCTAGTTATAAAGAGACAAAACTGATCGTCAAGAATAGTGCAAGTACTGATTCTGGGACAAACAGAATGAGCTGCTCCAAAAACTTTGCTAAATAATGCATATTATTTAGATAAATCTAACTTCATCTGAATCCTCACATTTCAGACAACTGAACAATTAGATAATTAGTACAGATCCTTTAAATGATGCCTGTGAAGAATTGTTATTTATTCACCACTGGGGATAAAAGCATTCCAGGTACACACAGGTCACACTGGCTCACCAAGCTGAAAGTCACACAAATCTGAAAATTTTCACACAAATCTGAAAATCCAACAGACCAGCTCTGAAGAGAGCTGCTCTTGGAGACCATGACCACACCATTGGCTTCATCAGGAAGAAGCTGAGGTACAATGAGTGAGGCAGTCACAGTGAAGCCTTTCCTCTTTGCCAGGCACCTTAGACCCTACTCCTCTCTTTCAGGGTATCACAGACTGTCCCATCCTGACTTCAACAGCTTCTGCAGGAAATGCCCACTGAAAAGGTTAGTTTATTTAGTGTATTTTACCCTCTTCACCCCAACCTCAGCCAACAGATCACAGTCACAAGATCAACTGGAATGTAATCAAGTGCCTAAGGCCAGTTTTGTAACCAGCCCTACCCTACCACTCCACATGCATTCAACTGTTGGCCAGTACTGCTGCGTTGCAAAAGCTTGCTTTATTCTGCAGTCAGGATCCACCATCTCTGGCTTTGAGCTATCCAATCGCTATCCAACCAGTTTTTAAATGAATGCCAAAGTAAATATATGAAATTACACCCACACCGATACACAACTGATCCAAAACATCTCTAGGCACCTTTCTTGTAAGAAATAAATTAGTATGTTTCAAGCTTATTAGCAAGTATCCTGGCAATTATGCAGGATAAACTTGTAGAAAGGAAAATACTCCAAGAAAGCTGCAAAGCTGCTCCATGATGCAGGAGTGCAAAATAAAATATCAGACTTTTTCCTTCTCTACAAAATTAAGGCAGTTACTGTATTTTCCAAAACCATGGAAAAAGTTTCCCAGATTGTAGTAGAATGAGCTGTAAAGTCTCATATGTGAATAGTAAAACTCTAATTTTACAGTAGCAGTACTCTTTTAAAGAGCAGGCTTACGCCTGCAGCTTAATTCAACAGTTGTTGCCAAGAATCATTTCTAGTCAGAAACACATACATGCAGAGTTATGACTGATACACCCTTACGATTAGTTAACTATAATCCTCATAGTTATCTTAAAAGAAAGCAAACAGAAAGGAGAGATCTGCATTTTATAAAACACTAAAATTGCATTTAGTTTTTACTAGGCCACCATTATGCCAAAGGGGGTGGCAAAAAATTATGCACCCTTCAGGTTCCCCACAATTTATCACTGTTTTACTGTCCTGGAAAAAGATTTGTGATTTATATTCCCCTCAGGTAAGCTGCTCCAGCAAGGAAAGAAAAAAAAATAGTAGCATAATTAAACCAGACTGCAACCTGAGCCACATGAGCTGTTAAGCAGACAGCAGCATGCACTTTTAGTATTTAATATTTAATAATTCTAATATTTTCCTAGGAACTAGAACACCAAATTTACATTTGTGCTACAGTTTCATGGTTCTGCAATGTATTTACTGAAGCAGATTCTGTTTTCCTTGAAAATTAATATTGTGGCTGCTGACCTACACTATAAATATACCAATAGCAATCCACAAACAAGTCAGCAAGTTCCAAGCTAGCTTGCCTAAAAACCAAGGGATGCACAAATGGGAAGGCATTCATGACTGCACTGACAATAGTTTTTTGAGAATGAGAGCAGAGCACTGTGCAATTGCAGGAAAAATACTCTAAAGAGCAACCTAAAATACTTAATATTCTCAGTGAATTTAATTGCCTAGAGCTTTTAAAAATTACATTTAAAAAAAAATATATATATATATATTAACCACTATGCGCCAATCAAATCTACAAACAAAATTTGAAACCACCCAGCACAACTAAGCTAATATCAGGAACCACATCCCTTCAGCTACACTTGTCTTCCAACTAGTAATTTATTTATGTGTCTAGATTTTGTAATAAAATAAGGAAGGTGGGAAGCACATATTTTCTTCTTATGCCAGCTCTGCTATGCACAGCCTTTCAAAATGAAAAGGCTTTTTTTTAAAAAAAAAAACAAACAAAAAAACCCCCCCAACAACAGACATTTCTACAGGTAACAAACAACTCTCCCAACCCCAGACATAAAATTGTCATAGTTCCTGAAGACAGAGGTGGGAATATTCCGAGAAATAACAAACAAATCTGCATAAGCATCTTCCCTCCTTTTCCACAGCCATGATTTAGTACTGAAAAGAATGAAACTGGCAAATGCATTCAGAACCAAGGGAAGGAGGAGAGGGCTGGGTCAGCACAGAATACAGCACGTACTGAAGTCATGCAGAAGTGGCTTTGACAAAAACCGTAACTAATACCACCTCATCACTCCTGTGCAGACAGCAGAGGCTTAATCAGACTATAAACCGCAAGAGGGGCTGGGGCTGGCTCAGCCTCGGGTTCTAGGACAAGCCTGACACATCTGTTTCACACTCCTATAGCTCAAGCACTCAAGCTCCAAGTAAAGCAGACTTCATCCTTGAGAATGGTGGCCCCTGAGAAATAAGCACTATAGTCTTAAAAAAAAAAATATATATTTATAAATAGAAAATATATATATTGAATATATAAGAAACCTTTTCAGAAAGACTTGCCTGCATTCTTGACAGTACTGCAGAACAAGTGGCATGGGAATACAGTAGGTGCAGTACATTGGGACTTCAATGCTCTCATAAAGCCTTACTTCAAAATTAATCTCTCAGCTTGCTAGATGTGCTCATGCAGATTTAAAACTAAACATTTAGCCTTAATACAAACAGTAATATATCAGCTACGCAGAAGTAGACAGTGGAATGCTGCAAGGAGTGTATTAGATTAAGTATTATTTGACATTTGATGACAGAATCATTAATAGTACATTAACAAAGCCTGGAGATGACTTATATTAGAAACAAGAGACAGGCAGGTTGGACACAAACAGCAAGACTCATGTGAAAGCTAACATACATGTGGAAAAATAATCACAGAGAGTAAACTTTGAGCTGTCAGGAGAAACCCGAGAGGCAGTAACTGTAATTTAAAATGACTGGGTGTGCGAGATGCAAAATTAAACATCAATATTTGCTAGACACTAGAAAGAATAGCAATTTGATATAAATCAGATGGGGCTCTCTAAAACATCAGAGACAGAAAGCACCAGCCCTTTCTCTGCATTCTAGGCATCATACCTGTAGCTACATGGCAGAATTCAGAAATGCACAAAGGCAAACAAGATACAGAAATTAGGTTTAGAGAGCACACTAGGGCATCCAGCTTGGGAGACAGTCTGTAGCAACACAAGAATTAGTTGGCGTGGTATCACTAACAACAAAATGTAAAGGAAAAAGGAAAAAAATGTGGTCAAAACACTGGGAAACACAGTGAAGCCAGTGGTATTGACCTGCACTACGGTTCCCTCAGGTGTGAAGAAAGCTTAAACTCCTGGTACTTTAACAACTCCGCAGCTTTGGAGGACATTACAGAGGTGTTGCATTGGAAGTAATGAACAATACAACACCACATCCTTTCTCCCAGGTCCGGTTTCAAACAGTCTATATGAAGTCTCAGCCTTATTAATTTTCTCTCAACAAAAACCAGATATTGATTCACAGCTATAGAAAATACGGTGAAAGTTTTAACAGACAGAAATCCTTATACCTTGACACTTCAGGAGTGTGCCATGTTATCAAGACATCCCACTACGATCCCTTCCAAAACTTATTGCGACCATCTTTTGCAGCCATGGCCAATATTACAGGTAGCATACAGAGCAAAGAGACACTATTTGGACACTTAACTTATCCTTCCTCTCTGCACCACCTTCAGAAGAGAAAAATCACAGTTGCCTCCTCTCAGCAACAACAGAGCCGAAAGTGTCATTAGTGGCTTAATAAATTTGACTCCTCTTAAATCTGCATGTGTGGTGTTGGAAGACAATGGAGAAGAGGAAGAAAATGAAAGGAAGAAATAAATAAAAATAAAAGGAACTTATTTGCGAAGCTTTTTTCAAACTGCATTTTGACTGGTGTCATCTAAAATTTAAAAAAACCTAAACTTAACAGACTCCCTGCTTGCTTAGGCACACAGGTCTTACGCAACTCAAGGACTGATTGAGTAATGACACCTCACCGCTGCAAGACATTTATTTTCAGCTCTGGCACTTACAAAACCACGATGCCATGTGCGCCTGGCACCCAAACATCAGCTGCTGAAAGCTAACCATAAACCTGCCAAACCAGCTGGCACTAACTACTCAGCTCTCCAACCACTACCAACGAGTCACTCATCGCTTTACAAATCAGGATAAACGTTTTCAATGAAGCAAAAACTGTGGTCAAAAGACAGATCACAAGTAACTGGAGATGGCTAAAGGTGGGTGGTTAGAAGGGAGGACAGAAGGTCACATCACTGCTGTTGGAAATATTTACTTAAGTATATAAGGAACTATTTAAGACAATGTATAGAAACAATAGAGGGAGAAAATATATAGTCCCAGCATCTAACAGTACCTTGAGGAGTAAATTATCTCTCTCACTTCTCTTCCAACAAGTTCTGCCTGCAACCTTGTTTGCATACAATATTCTACCTTAAACCACTACAAAGTCTCTGGGCAAGAACATTCAAGTGTCTCCTACTGGTGAAGCAGGTTCATTTCAGAAAGAGATAGAGAAATTCCCCAGAATAATTTGTGAAGAGGCTTATGAATTTGTTAAAGAAGCTTATGAATAAAAAGCTCTAACGATGTATGGAAGTCATTATAATGCTGAAAGATTTCTAGGACAGCCCAGGTAAGCTTTATATCACATGATAAAAATAGTAAGATCACAGGTCAAATCCAAAAATCAGCTTGCATACATCAGGCACTAATTTACAGTCACCAACTACAGAATAAGGTGCTTCCAACTAATTTGTCTTTATAAACAGTTATGAGAAAAGACAACATATCTTAGACTTGTCTGTTTCAGATATCTGATAGATTATACAGGCTAAAGTGTAAGCATTTTTTAGTTTATTTTTTTTTAACTTTGCAACATTCATTTCACAATCACATTTTTTCTTTCTTTTACTGGAAGATAAAATACTTTAAAAAATATATATATACACTTTTTCTATTCATGTTCTGGACATATCTTCCCATTATTTGGTTCTTTCACTGCACTGATCTCAACAGTAGGTCTAAAATAAAGGCATCTTAAACAGAAGACTGTGTGAATGCAGAAATGTCTGCAGTCAGAAAGCTCCATTAATCAGCTGAACAAAGGCAGTTAAAAGATCAGCGATGCAGATACGTACATCTACTGCAAATGCATCAAAATGAGGCAACAGGAGACTTTATGGAAATGAACTCAAAGTCAATGACAGTGTTGAGTATCTGTACTAGAATCTTAACATCCACAAAATATAATTTAATTATGTCATGCAGGACGTAGATGATATTTTTTTCAGAGCAAAGAACTAATGGCTGTCCAAAAGCTTAATTTTTCTCTCTTCTCCCTCCTGAAGAACGGAAGCCACACAACAGCCCATCTATCTAAATAAATGGAAGTCATTCAGTAGCAATTTTATTCTGCACTAGAAAGAAACATACTGGAAAAAACGTTAGTTACTAATGAAATTTACACTAAGAGACAGCCTCAGTTGTCTCTGGTGGCTCTATTAACAGGATCATGCTATAGAAGAATTTTCCTTTCCACATACTCATGTGTCTTTCAAACACATTTGAACAATGAATTATTTGTTTGCATTAAAAAAACACAACCTTAAATTTCTTATCACAAAAAGAAATCAGCCTTTGTAGGTTCAAAGAGCGTTTTTAAGGGTTCAGATGTTTTTCCTTTCCAGCCTCAGACATGTGTTTCTTCCAGTCATTCCTACCTGTTTCCTTTGCTAAATCTAGTGAAGTGAGACACAGATGAAGGAATCAATAGTCATGTTGTTTATGGTGAAGCTCCTATTAAGCTTCAGTATTTTTGGATAAAAAAAGAGTACTGCTGCACTGGAGAGATACCAAATAAGCTTTGCCTGCTACCACAACTCTGCAACACAGCCAAATCTCATCTCAATGCCACATGACTTTTTTTTTACAAGGTATAGTTGTAATGGAGGGATTTATTTTGACTTGAATCTACAACAGAAAATATTCAAATTTATCAATAAAAGGCTAGTTCTGCTGCATGTTTTCCCCAATGGCACTCCAGCACTGAGATCACAGCAAGACATTATATTCATTGTTAAAACTGAGTATCTGATTTTATCATGCAGTACAACTATGTAGATCTGTATTACACACACATCACAGCCTATTCATACATACACCAAGAAACACATTAAAAGACAATGATGCTTGGCAGCTAAATCACAATTTTGACATGCCCAGATCTGATTGCTTCTTTTTCAGTTATGTATGTGCCTACAGGAAAGCCCTGAATTACAAGGCTTGATATGGTTGTCCACACTCTTTGCTACATTTTAAGCAATCTGAACAGCTCTATCTCACACAGTCCATTGTTTACAAGCAGAAACAGTTTAGTAACTCCACCTGCTTACTTTTTTTTCTCCCTTTCAATACATTTGTTTTGGTAACTGTCTGTTTTGTTAGTAGTATGTCCATCACCTCCCCAGGATGGGATGAGAGGGATGCTGAACTGGCAGAGGAAGGTGTAAATGAACCTAAATCCAATCCTCACTGGCAACTAGGATGGAGTCAATCAGGCTGGAACCCCAGATAAAGTACCCTATGACATGTAGTATTTCTCCCCTGGAGATGGATACCACCCTTGTGAGCCAGCCTGTGCACCATGCTTACCCCCTTCTGAGTTTAAAATGCACAGATCTACAGCAGTTTGTCAGCTCTCTTGTCTGCCTTTTTTTTTTTTAATGTTTGAATTTTTTTGCAATATCTTGCCTTACAGATTTATATAGGCAAAAATCTAATCTATACTGACACATAACTATTTCTGTATGCACTTTTTAGAACTTTAGAACTGTATCTATTATCAAAAGATAATTGTAACACTAAATTAAAATCTAATCTATACTGACACATAACTATTTTTGTATGCACTTTTTAGAACTTTATCTATAACGAAAAGAGAATTGTAACACTGAAATTTGTATAGAAATAAGCTTCCTTCTCTACTCAGCTAGCTATCTCAGACACCTCCGACCTCCTTGGCAGAGTACATACCAACATAAGTTAACACAACATTCTGTAAAACAATAAAAATCAATAAATTAGTTATGCAATGCATAGATGCAAAGCAGTACAAACTAAGGTAGCATGAGCAGCTCCCTAAATTCTATTATAGTTTAGTTTCACATTTAATTTTTTTAAAATCAGAAAGTATGGTACTCAAAAAAGTTAGTTTTCACATCTCCTCTCAGCCCAGACATTCTTTTTTTCCCAACAAAGGGGCACAAAAGGACTTGAAGTATTCAAAATAGTGATAGGACGTCCTAAAATTCAGTGCTTTTAAAATGTATTTACTGAACATGTTCAGACAAAAGCTATGTTACAATGAAAAATATTATTAATATTGAAATGTAAGGAGAATTCCTGTTAGTCAAGTTTCAAGCTGGTCACGTTTCAAGTTGGTTTCCTACGATCAGACTATATTTGATTTACTCATAAAGAAATTTTGAGGGTTTTTTTCATCTGCTAACCAAAAGATTAACTCATGATAAGTAATATATGAGACAGGGAGAATACTTTCCCTCGTTCCAAAAATTAAGAAATTCACTTCTATGAAGCAAATAAGATGCCTTTATTCAGCTCTAACTGAAAACTTCTGTCCTGTCCCTACCATGATAACCAAATTATACACCAAATGAAGTTTTAGAAGTTTTAAGGGGTGAACAAGAGAGAGAAAGAGAAAATTCGGCCAAACAAGGAATGTATTTTGCTGAAGATGAGTACAGGAAAGTACATTTAAAAATCATATTGATACTCCTAACTGCAAGACCAAAGTTGTATCCAAGTTTGGCAATTTTGTGTAGAAGCAATTTGAACACAAACAAGCTTACTTGCATGTTTGTCTGCCAATACAATAAGTGTACTCGATATGTCTCTTCTTCTGTAGAAACACACCACCTTTGCCTCCACATTTCCATTGGCAGTCTGAAACAGGAAAAAAAGGAAAACAAATGAGCACAAATCAAAACCTGAACTATACACACCGAATTAGAAAACTTCACCAATAATTTGGAATTTTGCACAACAGCTACATAGCATCACCTTTTAGCACCCTCCAGCTGCACACAGGTCACCTAACACACAAACTACTGTGATCCCTGTTCCACAGGAGAGAAACAGAGTTTGGCCCTTCCCTCCTAATTGTTTCTGGGGCATCACCTTTTTTTGCAGTTACAGAAGTTTCATGGGGAGAGAAAAACCACTTACCTACAATTGCAACAGATTAACAAGCCACTTTGCTACTCTTCAAGTGACATCTACATTTAGTAGAATTCAAACATCTTTGAAATTCTAATAAAAATAACTGTGAAATACAACAACAGAGTTCAGGTTTAGGCTGTTCTCCAAACTCTGTAGGGCAGGAGGAAAGCAAGAAAGAACCCAGCCATTGTTACTTTCACAAAAGAAATCACAAATGGTTTTCTTTCTCTGACAGCACTGGTGAGCTGAACAATGACTAACACACCAAAAAAATCATTCCAAAAGGAGAACCAAAGAAGCTGTACCAGGCAATAAACTCTACGCCAGTGACAACATACAAAAAAGTCTGAATATTTGGAAGGTTTGGTATTTTTTTCTTAAAACTCTTAAAATGAGGTAGGTGATGAATCTCTTGTAAAATGGTATCTGCCAAATTGTGAAACTGGCTTTATGCAAATTCTAGGTGAAATACACCTACTGGTTTGTAACAACCCCAGTCAATCTACTGTCTCTAAAATAAAATGACAAATCATTAAAATAGAACTTAAGATTTGTATCCTACTACTGAAGAGTCCTTGAAAACCAGAATGATGGCACACAGTTTAAGAAACTATAAGACTAAGATACAAATTTCCCTCTGGAAAGTCTCCAAAAAAGGTAGTGGACCAGCAATCCATCCATAAGGAAACAAAATAAAAACTGATATACATGCTTGTTGCTAAGATACTAACGAAGGAAAAGTTTCATCTTTTATAATAACAGTTTTCTGAACACAAAAAATCAGGCAATACACACATGCACAAACATTTCTCCTTGCAGCCTACCAGTTTTTAGTACAGAGCCTGCAGAATTTCTACCATTTTCAGTTAAATAATGAAGAACTAAATTTTGAGGAACTAAAATACAAAGACAGAAGCGATCTTGTTAAAACACAAACAGCTACAACGTAGAATTATCTGTTTCATTTAATTGCCCAAGCTTCATTTACACTCAGTTAAAAAAAGGCAACACAAGATACACCATTCATTGCAACCCGAAAGACCCATTTCAAAGAGCAGGTCAAAGAAATTACAGCTCAAGCAAGAGTTGTGCTAAGATGAGAGAGCCAGGCTGAAAGTTCTTTTTTCAAAGTTCTCAAAGAGGGGGGAAGATTGAAGAGGGAAAAGAAGAAGGGATAAATGTCATTCTTCTAGAAAGCTAACAACAAATCTGCAGCCTGTAACTGATGGAATACAGGTATTGATACCTCATGGCTATGGATCCATCAGGAACACTTCAGAAACACTCTATTGTTTCCTTAATGGAAGAGAGACAAAGTATTTCTGCAAAAGATCTCCACTAAAAAAGAAGGGGTTACAAGAATGCCCCAGTCTTCAGATTCTTTGTCATTATATGATACACTTTCTCTACCAAGTAACTGTTTTAGAAAGACATGTTTTTTCATCATTGTTGGCTGAAGAAAAAGACCTAATTTTAGTCAGTTAATTTAAATTCAAAACCAAACCAGCGATGTTACATTCCTTCCGTATGGGCTGCACTGGACATGCTGGGATTAAATCTGAGAAGGTGGCATGTTTAGGACACGTTTAACAGCTTCAGAACAGTCTTCCTTCCTCAACTAGGTAAAATTTCAGCATGGAGGACTTCAGCTGGTCTCCCACATGCAACCTACCACACTTCCCCTTTAGAGCCAATGAACGGGAAATCTGGCAGATGAAATAATCCACCGCCCTAAAAGACAACCAGCAAAGACAAAGCCTGAGGAAGCAGATAACAGCTCCAAACCTTCCTGTTGAGCAAGAGTCTCCCCCAAGAAAGATCAAATAAGAAAGCTCTCCATCCTCTGGGCAAACTATTATTTTATCTTCCTGTGGCATGATGCTGGCACAGAACTGAAGAACTGCAGAAACCTCCTGCCCTATAGGTGGGCATAATCACCTGGAGAATGACCTGTGGTTGAGGCTCAGTCCTTTCACATCAAAGGAGAACAGCCTAGCAGGTCTCAAAGCATTCCAGTAAATTACCAGAACAAAAGTATTTTCAAGCTTCTAATTACCAGAGAACTGCTAAAGAACTGTTCTGATTTTAATCAAATCAAACAGATCATAAATTCAATTATCTTCAAAGACTTGATGGAAAAATTTGTTTACCTTATTGAGCTCTTCTATTCTTCGTATCAAATATGGGTTACTTGAAGAATTTTCGAAGTAGACATAATCTGACAAAAAGAAAAAAAAAAAAGACTCTTTAAAATATGAACTGCTAAAAATCAAATTAGAAACCTCACATGTATACCTGTTAAAATCACCATGCCAAATGCATTTCTTGGCACAAAGAGTATTTCAAATGTTCCTGCTAAATCCAGGATGTTAAGTGAGGAAGTACAAAATCCATGCCCGTGTAAGGAACATATATCAGTCCAATCTGAAGGCCAGGAACTCACTTCTGGGGTGGGGCAGGGGGAAGAGAAGGAGCTCTACTGTCAGCCTGAAAAGCATATGACCTTCCTTCTCCCTCTGATCACATTATTTCCACTTTGATCACACTTTACTTGCTTCCTCTTCTTTTATATCAAAATCCAGCCACTTCTCACCAGCAATATGCAATCCTTCCTTTTCCATTCCAGCTCAGCTTCACCTACTGCCCATTTACTTAAAGCCTCCCATTCTTGCTTTGTCTCTTATATTTTCCTTTACTTCCTGATCTTTTACACCTATATTATCCCAGAACAGGCTCAACAAAACTCCATATAGTAAGCCAAACATGTAGTAATGCTCGTATTTCCAAGTAGGATAAAACATTTTAAACTACAGGAAGCAAATGAGTTCTTTACACAAGGTAGTGCCTTTAAAGAAAAAAAAAGCCAGAGAAGCATAAAGGAGTGTGAGATGAATAATTTGGTACTACTGAGCTCCAATCTTAAACACTCTTTGTTACAGGTAAGGAAACAGAAGCTCAAGAGTCTTGAATGGACATGGCCTTTGTCTCCCAATACTCCAGAAGCCAAATCTTAAGCTTTAAGCAAGGTAAAAATGAGGGCTGAATTCACAGCCAGCCACCCACCCACCCTCTGGTGCTGACCTTGCACGAAGATCTAACAAAGATTCCTTCCAAGACCATCTACTAAAGTTAAAACGATTTCCCTCCAAACTTCCCAGCTCGTTTGTGTTTGGAACAAACACTCATAGCCCCAGGGCACGACTAAGGTAATCTGCAATGAAGACATTAGCAGGAGGCTCCACCACTTGAATGGGTGTTTAGCGGTGCTCCCCTTTGTAAAAAGGGACAACTGCTGAAGCTGTCAGCCTCAATGCTTGTTAAAAGGGCAGTGATGTCAGAGACACTGTCACCTCCTCCCCAGCCCAGAGGAAGGAAGGCATCTCCAAGGGCCTCTGCTCCTGAAAAGCAGCACCATCAGCCTTAACGATTCCCCTCTAATCTCAGGGTGGCCAGGGAGACATCAGAGCATTCACCCACCTCATCCTCCAGCAGCCCTTAATTCCCCGGGTAACGCTGCTCAAGCTGCAGACAGGGATGTTTTCAGGCTACTGCTCACAGCTCGGAGGTCTCCCTGGAGTTCACAGAACAAGCTCCTCACTGCCTGAGACACAGGAGCACAGCAGCGACCACTGGGCAAATGACCCAGCAGGACCTGCAGCCCTCACTAACTGCAAGCAACTCCAGTGCCCTCATGTCCCTTCAACAGGGCTGAGCTGCCTTAGGAGAGTGGTCACAGATCAAGAATCCCAGGGGTTAGAATTTCAAAAGCAGAAATTGTAAAAAATAAATAAATTTAAAAAATGTTTCCAACCTTTTGTCTTTCAAAAAAAAATGTGTCATATGCCATGAGCTGCAAAGGCATCTTGACAATGAAGTCTCAACATGGTCTTGGCTGAAGTGATGTGGCTGCAATGCCAATACTGAAACAATGCACATCTTGGGTTACCTAACCATTCATGGGGTAACCAGGGCTAACACAACATAGAAATACTGCACCCAATTTCTTATCTTTTTGTGCATTGTGTGCTCCAGACCTCTCAAACTGATCATCAGCTATCTTCACACACACTAACACGCATCTGAGTGACTCCAAAACTTTCTTCCCCACTGCAAGAGTTGGTTCCTCTTAAATGTCACTTCCCTGCAGGCTTCAGACTGAAGAATGATCTCATCTAAGGAATTCAGATGGGACATCTGGTTTGTAGAAAAACAAAGTTCCCAGAAACAGTTAAAACATCGAAGTAACCAGACCCTAAATTTCCACTCCCAAGCACTGGCTCTGTATGGCACATCAAATGGGAAATAACAGGCTCCACATTACTATGACCAGCTCTACCAGAAGTCATAAAACCAAACAGATATTTGTCAGCTTCAGCAATAACAACTGCTGACTGAAATAACAATGACAAGCATTAAGCAATTTACAGATCAGCAAAGAGAGATCTTTTCTCCCACAGCAGAACCAAGGGTGCTTTCAGTGGAGGACATGGAAGCCTCAAGGTGCCTCTGAGCTCACCTGGCCACCTCTCACCTCAAGGCTCCATCACCTGAAGAAAGGACAAGTTCTTTCCCTTCACCCCTCTCATGACTCTCATTACTTTGGCTGAGGCAGATGCAAAAATCTTATGCTGGTGAACACTATGACTGAAAATGAAAAATGAAAACTAAAGGAAATGTCAATCTCTGTCTTGAAAATATAACCTTGTCTTTAATTCCACGGGTTTCAGGTGACTTTTACAAATGTTCATAGTTCACACCATTTTTCTAACAGGTTTTTTTTGTGTGCCCATACGTGCATATTCTTACAGACAAGTTTTCTACCTCAAGTGAACATTAACTCAATTTTTCATGTAACTATAGCTTATTGATTGTAAAATCTGGCATGGATTTAAAGAAAGTTTATCACAGATTAACGGTTTACCAGAGAATAGCTCATGGTGGTATTCAACAGTTTTGAATAATAAAACCCCCAAAACACCATTTTACTTGGCAGCAGGGACATTCCCACACCCACACTCCACGACCAGCAACTGCAAAGGAACCTCCCATGAACCAGCCAACTGCATATCACTGACAGAAAGGAAAGGCTGTCCCATGGGATTCTTCAAGAGCTGATGGTGCCACAGTGTAGAGGTCCATACTTAGACCAGTGCTTGATGACTTCAGGTCACAAATGCACAGCTCATTACATCTCATCCACGTTTCAGACTAATCCCACAGCTATGTTAAGCATTTCACCAGTAGCTATGCAACTAATGGAGACCTATTTCCCATTACTGAGAAAAGGGAAAAGGGTTTCTTCCTCTCTGCAAGCAATGCAGAGCACACTGCAAATCTGAATGTGAGCAGATAAGAGGGGAGTAATTTGCATTTTTCATGGAGATTTTAAATACTTTAACTAAAATTAAAATGTGGTCCTGCACAAAGAAATGCTCGAGTTACTGTTCCACACGTACAACGGAAAGTTCAACAAACTACTCTCCAAACTGATGCTTTAGCAGGTGAGAGTGCTCCTCTAAAACTGTTCCATGAGCAGCAACACCAGTGAAGGCTGGTTTCCTCCAAACCGGGTTTAAAGGAGGTGCAGCACTGTGCTCCACGGACACCTACACTGTAAACCACCTCCTTGCCCCTTCAGCACCACTTCTCCTTCACCTCCAGCTTCCTCCTATGCCATGGAAGTGCATCCTTCTCGTGCTGCCTACTCCACTAACGCTAGTCCCAGTACTGCTTTCAGGACAGTAGCTACAACTGCACACACATCAGATAACATAAACTCTTTACAGGCTCCCAACAATCCAGGTGTCAATGGAGACATCCTGGATGTGCACAACCGCCAGTCTCTGCCTGTTGGGCTGAAAGAGAGGATGGGGAAAGAGACAAAATTAATAAACCTCTAAACAACAGGAAGATACACATCTCAGCTCCTCCTGCAGAACAGGAAGGAAAGAGTACACTAAAACAAAAAATGAGGTCTAGGGACAGAAAAGTAGAGCCTGATAGCAAGCAAACAACAAGGCTTCACCCTCCAAACACAACAGACTGTCTGTCCTTGCTAATTTATTGACTTCCCTGCTTGCACGGTTGAAGAAAAGGACTAGCCTACCTGCTCTGCATCCCTCAAGCACAGTATGGCTCCTTACAAACAGCAACCACCATAAAACACATGAAGCTCACTCCTTACCACCCCACCACCTGAACAAAGGCTGGAGATCCAATCCCATACCTTACAACAGCTTGCAGCTTCAACTCATAAACCCCGAATTAATCAGCCATGCATCCACATCACGATCGTAATTAACAGCATCACTCATGCTCGTTACAGAATTACCTGTGATTAGGCTAAAACAGTGACTGAGTGTGACAACACCACAAGACAGTAAGAACCATCACACATATCACCACCTTCTGACTCAAACTCATAGGATGGTTTGGGTTGGAAGGGACCTTAAAGATCATCCAGTTCCACCCCCCCTGCCATCAGCAGGGACACCTTCCACTAGACCAGGTTGCTCAAAGCCTCATCCAGCCTGGCCTTCAACACTTCCAGGGAGGAGCAGCCACAGCTCCTCTGGGCATTGTGGCATGAGCCCTTGCCGGTGAAGACTGAGGCAAAAAAGTCATTGAGCACCTCAGCCTTCTCAGTGTCCCAGGTGACCAGGTCTCCTGTTGCCTTCCGAAGAGGGTCCACATTTTCCCCAGTTTTCATTTTCTCCCCAACATTCTTGGGTTTTTTTGTTGCCCTTGACATCTCTGGCCAAATTTAATTCTCTCAGGGCCTTGGCTTTCCTAACCTGATCTCTGGCTTTTCGGGCAATTTCTCTGTATTCCTCCCAGGTTACCCATCCTTCCTTCCACCCTCTGTAGACTTCTTTCTTGATCTTAAGTTTGTTCAGAAGCTTTCTGTCCATCCATGCAGGCCTCTGGCTGTTTCTGCCTGCCTTCCTCTTTGTTGGGGTGCACCGCTCTGGGGCTTGGAGGAGGAGATCATTGAGTATAAGCCAGACAAACTCAAGATGTATTTCTTTCTCTTGTCTATGCTGTTATAGAGCTGAAGTACCACATACATAAATCTACCAAAAAACCCTTTATATCCCATATTTTTTTTCTGAAGCTGAGAATATGCACAACTTACTAGAAAGCAATGCTGTATTACATAGGTACTGAATTGCTAGAACACACAGAAATAAGCATACTTACAACAGTACAGCTG